AACAGACACCCAGACACATTCAGCTTCCAGGTCTTTTATTGGCTTCCATCACCAGTCCAGTTGCATTTCCACTTGTGTCCCGCTGATGCAGCTGGTGAAAACTCTTTCATGCCAAGCGCACTGTTATGATGGTACCTTACATCTCGCATTTTGTTTGCCAAATTTTACTTTTAATCACTCTCTTTCTGTGATGCCAGTACAATGATAAATGAATGTGCTGCAGAGATATAGAACATATCATGTATGGTTGAAGCTTTGCATCAGTCAGTGGAGCTGACGTAAAGTGTTCACAGGTCTTTGTTAAGGTACATATCCAGTGAGATACAGTATCTATTGACATGCTTGCTTTTCACTATATAACACTTTACTGCAGGGTTTAGGGTTTTGGCTTGATGACACCACCACCATTTTGAATAGGCTTTCTGTCAGGAATGCTCGTATAAGAAGGAATGGAAAATCTCTACAGATGCACACATGTGACAAACATGCACAGCTATAATGCACATTGGACTCTAATGATGAATGTACAGTCATTATCAGACTTAACAACAGTGAGCCAAAACAATTACAAAGCACCAAATGTTTGCAAAAAAAAGTGTAAATGGCAACGATTCTGCTTACATGAGCCAGATAACCACAGGAATTATGATCCCAGTTTGTTTTATTGAACTTTTTTTTTTTTTACAGGAATGAGGAAAGAAGAAATAAATTAATTTCTATTTAACAACCTCAAAACACCAGGCATTTATTGTCTGTTGTCTGTGAGAAAATGCTGAAGGACAGTGAGTTTAGTAGATTATTTACTGACATGGTATTAACATGTATAAATATTATTTTATGTTACAAATTTCAACCAGTGACCTTGGTTAGAACTTTGATTTTTATGTTTTTGGATACGTCTGTCATTCAGCTCTTTTTAATTACATTGCTTTTGAAGAGCTGCGCTGTAATTCATAAACCCAAACCTGCACTTTGAGCATAAACTAGAGAGTTACATGGAAAAAAAAACAATAAAATAAAATTAGAAGCTTTCAGCCATGTTTTCCTTCATCATATACTGAACTTTGACAAAAACACTGTGATGTGGAATGTATCAGCAGAAGTCTGTCAGTGATTACATTTAGCGGGTCATCTTCAGAAAAGCAGATGTTGACAAGCTGCTCTATAAGCAAGAAGATCTCCCCATTAACTAGTTCTTTAACACATATGTGATGCTTTTTCACAACATGAAATCAAATGTGAGCTGATTTCAAGCAATGGTCTGATGCCTTAAAATAAATCAGCTACACTAAGCCACATGGTCCAACTGTACGCAAATACCACAACACTGGAAAGATCCATCACTTTCAATGGGATTGATAGGTTTTCAGTTTTTGTAAACATATGAGCAAATTTTGTTTATATTTTGAATTTGTAGAAACAGAGAAGATGATCAAATTGTTGAATGGTGTGTTAAAATACACGAATTGGCCCTTTAACTGATGGGGTTGCAAAAGGGTTAAATAGAAAGGGATTTTGGAACCGGAAGCTCGTCTGCCTCATTTAGGGGCCACTTCACCCTCACTTAGCATCTGCTGCCAAAATACCCTCGAGCAAGGCATCGCATAAATTGCACAAAAGGCAACGAAATACTACGTTGGATGCTTTAGGGGTTCATCGGGACGTCGCTGCACGTTCTGCAGACGTTTTCTGAGTAAGTCCGGCTCAGACTGTGACTGTTGAGAGCAGCACACTCACCCTGTCGCAAAGCACTAACTGGAGTGGCCTCATTTAGCAACACGTCAAAGGACAGGCGACAGCACTGTGTCAGCGCCCCCACAAATCTCCTGCCTGGTCTAAACTTAATAGCATGTCAGAGACCACAACTGATGCAACGGGGGTCACCGCGAGCCTATGTTTCACTATAACGAACCCTCTCCAAGCCCGGCCCTGGGACTGTGGTGGCACCGCGGAGATTGATGTCCCAATCAGGGTTGTGGTTTAAATAAAAGGAGCTGTGAACTCTACGAGCTTCAGTCTGAATTATCATAAGGCAACCAGGCGCCAAACAAACTGGACAGAAATGAAACAACTTGTGTTTCCTCTTTTCTGACAACTGTTTAGCGCGACCCAGGTGCCAGTGGATTTGTGGAGTCAGGCTCAAACTACATGTGAGGAGGGCGAGTTTTGTTTACAAAAACCAATTTAAAGAAAGACTTTAGAAAAGTCAGAATACACACAAAAATCAAATGTAGAGTTTGATGTTGGAGAAGAGAACTAGTGTTTAAAGCAACGTTATGGGGTGATAATAACATTTAAATGAAACAAGGACTTACATTTTCCTTTTGCTGTTGGAAATGAGCCAATAAATAAATAATGAAAAATTTAAAGTCACATTCTCAAACGTTAAAAGAACAAATTAACTAATTGGGCCGCGTATGTCTGGTAACTCACTAAATCATTTTCTGTACAATCGGTGATTGGATTATACGAAGTTACACGTCCACTGCAGAATGGATTGCTCCAGACTCTGGTAACGAAATCATGTTATGGCTGCAAATAAGATTGGATTCCTTGGAGGGGATCTGAAATCTCTGCATGCCAATAAACTAAAGTAGCCTTGACTTGAATTTGACCGTTTGTATTAGGACTCTTAAAATCAGCAGATGAAGATAGCAGGATACCATTTTTTGCAAGACATTCCATGACTTGCAACTTTGAGGCGTATAACAACTTTTTGTTCTTGTAGAGCCTACAGCATTATTTTGCAGGAAACCCAATAGTTAACACCAACTGCAAATGTTTAACTTATCGATATCGATCTTCCTGAGTGACAGCAGCTGCGGATCAGAGTGCTGGCAGAAGCCTGGGCACCACATCCATCAACAGGCACTGATCATAGTTTTCTTCTAATCTTGGACCATAATCCACGTGTCAGTGGCTGCAAATAGTGAAAAAAACAGCCCCTCCAAAAGTTGCACGTATGCATGTAATGTTTAAACACAAGACTACCACAGTCCAGCTAAAGGTCACTAAAGGGCAATACAGTCCAAAAAGTCATTAAGGCGAAGCAATGCAACCAGCACTTTCACATTAAAAAGTCTATGTTACAGAACACGTGTGATTTGCCGAAAATAAAACCCTGCCTTTTAAAATGTAACCTGCATAGAAAGGCGGATCCACCTTTCTGTCGGATATTTGATGCGCAGATAAGCTGCAGAGTGTCTACCTCGGTAACACAAATGTCAGGCTCAGATTGCTGGCCACAAGTGCTGGTAATAAATATTCATGATGCTGACGCCCGCGCTTTCCAGATACCTGAGTGTTTGCCATTTTCAGTCTTGAGCGTAAATACACTTAAAGTGAATGGTTTTTCTGCGCTCCTATCAGAACTGGAGTCACCAGCAGCAGCTCCACTGGCAGCCTGAGAGGAGACGCGCTGCAGCCTGTCGTCGACTCCTCTTTTTTATGAGCATTTTATTTTCGACATAGTGAGCTCACTGTAATGTAATACGACAAAAGCACGAAGTGAAAATTAAACAGCTTAAGGTTCGTGCTTTGCATTCTTGTTGTACTTGGCACGTTAAAAGCGCAGCGTCTGGCTGTTTTGTAAAGCCATGGTTTCTCTCCAAAAGCATGTGCAGGGGAAATCTGACGTAAATAACCACGAAGCCACACAAAACTCTAATAGTAGTAAAAGGTAAAACTAATTTCCCATCACTATTATCACATCTACAACTGAATTGTATTCATGAAGTAATTTCTCAAGTTCAAATTAAGAAAAAAACTGGTTTTAGGTATTGTCTCCTCAATGTCAATGTAAAATCAGCTATAAATTTAAATATGGTGCATGTGTGAAATGTCCCGCCAGCCTGGAAACCACATGAGCTAGTTTAGCACTTCAAACTATTTATATTTCCAGTTACATGGGAAGATTTTTCTGTAAAGCTGCAAAGTGACTTTCTCAAACGAGTTCGCGTGGCGAGGACTGCTTCTTTTCTCTGGCAGTGCATCGGTGAAGCAGCAGCACCAGAACCCAGATAGATAGTGTTAAATAGAGTCGAAAAAGTCATTTTATTACCACCCTTCATTTATCTCCACACGTAATAGTCCGTGAAAAGAAAATATGAATACATTTCAATACATTTCAACAAATCATCTAAGATGGTGGGAGTCGTGGATGTTTTTTTTTTTTTTTGGCTTATATAAACGCCAGGCACGCGCAGGCATGCACGCGCGCACACACGCCTCATCTGCTGCTGCTGCTGTTGTGTCTTTTTTTAGGTTAAATTTTTGTATTTGGTTCTTTTCTGGTGTGCGCTGCAGACGGACAAATCGCGGCTCCGTGCACACTGGCAGTGTTAACCGTGATCACTGGCGGCTGCTGATGTGATCTCTGCCTAATGGGGCGGTCAAGCAAGCTGCAGCCAGGAACAATGAGGGGGCCACATTGTCTCCTCGGCTCCTCCTAAATCTATAAAATCCGACAAACGCAGAAAAGAAAATAAATTAGGTTTGAAAATTAGATTCCGGAACAATTAAGTAGCGGCAAACTATTCCGGTTTACACTGAGGAACAACTGCCGTGATTAATCGATTTAATTTGCACATTACTGGAGGGCAAAGTGTTGGATGTTAATTTTGAACAAACAGAAGATGCAGAAGGGGGGAGTGGATTTACTTATTATGGACTGTCAGGAAAGTTGTGACAGTGCGTTGAAAACACGGTGGAGCCTTTAGCTTTAAATGAGCTGTTGCCTTGGACACACACACACACACACACACACACACACACACACAGTTGCAAATGTATCAACACACAAAGTAAAAAGGATGAACTGTATTTTTTCACCTAAACCAGTCGTATATATCTTTTATCGAAACTGTACTAATTGCACACTAAAGGTAGCAGCTACATTTTGGTGCAGCCTGTATATAAAAAGAACCATTAGTTTGACACAACACTCATGTGGAGATCAGCTTCAAACACTAATGAAACCAATAACCCCCAACGCACTGAACCATTGTATTTTTAATCCTTTAATATAGTACGAAATGTATCCAAACATTTTTAACTAAATTTTACATACGAGCGCATTTCTCCATAAATACCGATCATTTCTAACATGTTACCGGTCCTTTACATGCGGATAAATATGGAAAATTGAGCTACTTACATGTAATAATACTTCCTTTCAGACAAAGCAACTGACAGAGATTTTATATTTATCACGTACATAAACAGATTGACACGGAATTTCAGGCTTTCACTACACGATTCATTGACATGACATTAAATAACAACAATGATACTGTGCTACTCAAACTGGACCTTGGACGAAAATGTTGCACTGAACAGGCTACAAAAGCACATGAGTTGGTTAGGTCGACGTGTAGACTGTAGTAATACTGAATAATTCACATTTGATACACAACCATAACATTCTTTTCAGTGGTCTATTCATCGCAATATTCTTAAAACCATCTCATTTTTCCATATATCTAGGGACCACGTTTTCACAAATTCCCTTAAACTGTGATATTTACAAAATAAAATATTACTTTTTTTACAACTTGTTGAAATCGTTATGTACAAAACTTCAGGCCTCTAGCATGCTTTATGAGGTCTTTTTTTTAAGCAGTCTCAGTAAAAATAGATTAAAGAAACAAAAAGAGTTTCACAGGCTGCCCCTTGCCTCCTTTGAATCCATGCATTTTCTTTCACTGACTTTGAGACAGCCTTTAATTGATCGTTTGGGCCTCCCGCGTTTTCTCAGTCCATGTCTCACTGGCTGACTTTATAAATCTTTGATCCAAGCAGTCTTTTTTTTTTAAACGCTGCAGTCTTTTTTCTCTTTCTTTAAAAAAATATTTACACGTACCATTCATTGAAATTTGACGACAGCGTGCTGTGGCTGGTTGTGTGGTGAACTGCGGAGGCTGCTGGTGATATGGAACTGCTGCTCTGGTTCTCTGTGGACGGTGATACTATGGTGGGGGGTGTGGAGGACTCGTATCCTGAGCTGGCCGCTGGAGATGGCTGGGAAGCTGGATTGGTGGATTCGTGGACCTGGAATGAGGAGAAGCATCGTAAAGACCGGGTTATAGGCCTGCTGTTCTCTTTCCGAGTTGTTATTGTGGTGATACAAGACGTAAGAAATTCATCAACAGATCTGACAGTTTTGGACATCCTAGAAAATCTAAAACCAAGCACATGCAAAACATTATTTATCTAATTCAAATATTAATATGATTTGTCGGTTCGACTTATGGCTCCTTCCTGGTGCCATGGACAAAAGCTGCAGACTTCTCATAATATTACAAAATATAAAATATTTCCAATCTAGATAGACTATGAAAAAAAATCACAGCTTATTAAAACTGAAATAATAAAATAATAGTAACTGGGGTTTACCTTCATGTGTTTTCGGAGAGAGCTGGGGTGTGTGTATGACTTGTCGCACATTTTGCAGAGATAGGGCTTGTCCGACGTGTGGACGTGCATGTGTTTCTTGCGGTCACTGCTGTTTGCAAATCGCCTGTCGCAGCCGTCAAACTCACACTTAAAAGGCTTCTCACCTAAATAAAGAAAGACAAACACGTTTACATTGGACTCGGACAGGATGCCACATTTCTAGATTGTACCTTTTTTTTAAAAAAATACTGACAGTGTAAAAACTTAAGAACCTGATAAAAGGCAGCTTTATTTACTTGTAAGTGTGTTTTTTGGTATTTAACTGACAACTTTAGTCTATTTAGTCATAGGCTGTAAATTTGATTAACCCACTTAGGCTAATGAATAAATACATTTAATTAAATTCAAATATTCATTAGAGATAAATTACACTTTACACATAAAATAGCAAGACTGGAAAAATAAATATTTTCTCTGGACAAATGCCCTGAATCTTAGGCCAGTGAGGAGACTCAGCTATTTAGGAAATAAAAACCCGGCTCGCGTTCATATTTTAGAGGAGATGTCAGCGTCGATTTGGCAGGAAAAGGCGACCAGTCTGATCTTACCTGTGTGTGTCCTTTTGTGGATTTTTAGATTTTCCGATCGAGCAAACACTTTGCCACAGCCGGGGAACGGACACGGAAACGGCTTTTCGCCGGTGTGTACTCTGATATGATTCACAAGTTTGTATTTGGCTTTGAATGGCTTCCCTTCTCTGGAGCAGTCCTCCCAGAAGCAGATGTGGTTGGTCTGCTCTGGTCCCCCCACATGCTCCACCGTCAGATGGGTCACAAGCTCGTGCATGGTGCTAAAAGTTTTGTTGCACGACTTTTTGGGATTTGTCAGCTGCTCCGGTTCGATCCACTTGCAGATGAGCTCTTGTTTGATCGGCTGCCTCATGTATCGAAAGAAGGCCCCTGCTCCGTGGTGTGCGGCCATATTCATGTTCATGGGGCCATAGCCGTGCAGCTGGGTCGAAGCATAGTGGTCGGACCGTGGGCTTGTAACGTGGCCGTACTGGTCGGCCCGTCCGTACATGTCCCCAGAGAAGCCCAGTCGCATCTGGCTGTTGACGACGTTGGAAGACGCATGGCTCGCCGCTTGCTCGTGGAGCCCTGGGAAGAGCAGGTGCCCCGCTGCATCTGAGTGTCCATGTGGCCCTGCGAAACTTCCGGAGGCGAACAAACTGTGCTGCGCCCCGGTGGCATCTCCGAAACCCCGATTTCTGAAGAGGAAGTCCCTGGTGGAGTTGAAAGCTGCCGTGGAGTAAGAGCCAACGTGGGTCGGGTGGTGATGGTGTCCCAGGGCGGCTGCTGCGTAGCCCGGCGCCTGGGAGGAAAACGCCGTCTGCCCGGAGCCAATATCATGGGAGCTGTGGTTTATTTTAAAGGCGCCCATCCCATCCGCGAACGGATTTATCCCCAGCGCCACTTCTCTCTCTGTGACTTCGCCTGTTGAGTGATGCCGTGAGGAGCCGAAAGTAGTGACTCCTATGGTGGGATACTGCGGTCCTGCGTCCAAGAGCATCTTCAGTCTAGACTCGCCGAGACGACTGAGAGCAGGAATCAAAAAATCACGCACAGATATTCTTCCTCCCGCTCTCTCTGTCACTTGGACCTCACTCGACTGAGCAAACTCTGAAATCCACCGATTTTCTGTTTACTTTTTAAGACGCGAGGTATTCCCCTATACTGCTCATCCGATGCATGCGCAAATTCATGTATACAAGCAATATTGTCTTTTGCGGTTTATCTTCCTGTGGCGCAACTTTCACCTCCTCAGTCAGGCGGTGAGCTCTAGACTGATAGTCGCAATCATTCCTGCAGATAAATGAATTGAAAAGACAACACAGTCCAGCCCTGATGAATGGGAGAGGAGGAAGGTAGTCATGTGGCCTCGGAGCTGCGCGCTCATTGGTAGAACCCCTTTCCCCCAATAACATCCACTCACCAAATAATCCACGGTGCAGGATCCACACTTCTATTGGCCTCTTTGCATCATCAATCCCAGATATTGTGAGATTGCTGACTGTGAATTTGGTTAAAAGGCTGAATAACTGCTAAACAAAAATTGAGAAACACAAGACAACAACTGGCCTTGTAGAAAGTCAAAGCACGTTTTGCAGCCCCAAAATGTCAGCTCGTCTTTGTTAAACCGGAAACACACCATCCATCCATCCATCCATCCATCTATCCACCTACCCATTTATCCAAACAGTGAACAAACCTTACAGCATTTAAAGGTCGACTCTTAGGTGTGTCAGGTACAGGAAGACGAGCCTGACATCTTTTCTTGGGAAACCTTGAGGTTAGATATAAAGTCTATTTGCTGTCATCACTCTCTTTAAAGACCTGTTATTCTCAACCTTTCCAAGGGGAAACCACATATTCCGTACTGTGACTCCTGTGCGCACTTTGTATTTTGTAGTTCTGTCTCCCTTGAACACGATGTTTCCGCGTCCTCTGGTGCTCACATCAGTGGAACATCTGTGCTTTAGATTTCCACATCACCATGCTCACCGGCACCCCACCTTCCCAAAGATTACCTATATAGGCCAGTATTTAACCTGGATCCACTAGTGCTTCTAATGTATCCATCATTTTTTGTAGGCTAGTGATGCATAGGCTGTGTGTAAAACGTTGTGGGTAGTCGAAGTTATCAAGTGGTATTTGCGGCGCTCTCTGCAGGAAGCTTCGGCTGCTAGTGTACAAAGCCACATGCACAGAGACGTGCCATGCGAACCATTAAAATCTCCTCTTGGCTACTATGCCAGTTTCTAAGTCAGGTCATTCTCCAAGTCAGTCTTGGGAGACCAAGGAAAGAAAGGAAGTTTCCTTGTTCTCAGCTTAACAAGTAGACAGATAGCTTGACCAGGAGTTTTAGGTGCCCCACCACCCTGCTTTGCAAAATTTGGAGGAATCTTTCAACAGGTGGAAAACGGTAAGACTGGCATATTGAAAAAGTGGAGAGTGAAGATCGGAGGTCATAAAGCCAGACTTGCAGCAATTGAGAATAAATTGGAAATTTTACGCCAAGAAAAGATTTGCTGGAATGACGCATATCTTAGTAAGTGCATGCCTCAAGACGATCCCAACATTTTTAACAGTCATGAGTAAAAGAGGCGTCCTAATGAAAAGGCCACTAAACGTTTAGTATCATAATCTTGATATTGTACTGTGATTTTAAAAAGTCAACCAGGAGCTCTTCAGGTTTTACAATGCAAGCAACTAAATCTAAGCAGTAAAAGCAGCGTTTTATGAAACGTCTCTGCAATATTCAGCTTTTTTTGTTTGGGATCATATTCAACTCCTCTGCTTACTTGTCTAACAGAGCGGCTGCATGTCCGTCTTGCAACAGAAATAGCACTTCAAAGTTTTGCATTATGCTGTTGCTGTGATGCCTGTGAAGGCTACAGCTGTAAGCCTAATGAGACCCATGCGTACAGGCCATTTAACAAACATCTTGTGGATCCGTCATGTCTCAAAATATTGACTTATTTGGTTTTGACAAGTCAATGCAGAGAAATAACCAAGAGCAATATCATTTTTATAATACAAAAATATTACTCATGTGACTGAGCGTCAGGTTATTCAACATTAGCAAAACGACACATTCAGTAATTCAAAAACAGAAATTTATATCATGTGCTGATGATTTTCTTAAAAACAAAAACATTAAAAATATGAGGAGGTGGTAGTCGCTCCTCAGACGACCGACTGTGGCATCAAGTTTAAGTTGTAGTTTACTACAACCTTGACAAATTACTAATGAGCACTGCATGAGTGAAATTAACATTTAATAAAAGATATCTGATAGCTAAGGGGGGAAAAGCCATGAAGCAACAGATTTTATAAAACTGCTTTGTTCAGGTTCACAATAAGAAAACTCAAAAAACCTAAACCAGTAAAGTAATAACCATTAATTATATCAGTAGGGCAAGACAAGAAAAAATATTTTTAGTGGTGATTTATATTATTTGCTAAAATTTCGGCCAAGCATTTTTGTTACAATCCACCGTGCTGAAAACGAGATTCCACGCACTGTAGTAGCACCCAAATATGAGGCAGCTCAACATTTTACACTGGGTTCTCCAAACACTTGGAAACATTAATCAGTGGCTTTTATATACTTTATTAAATGGTACGGCATGTTGATATGATACATAACTATTGATATCTGCCTTAAGCATTCAAATACAAGTAGAAATAATCGCTAAAATAAAGTTTTATACTCTATAGGATAGACTTGAAGGAACCGATACTTACAGTACACACATGCTTTTTACCACCTCCTCTGACCCTTATCTGCCGCCGTCCTGGGTCTTAAGCAAAATTACAACAGGTCCCGTCCATTAATTTTCTTTTCCTCGGGACAATGGCCGCAGCTCGCCCCTGTCACACTTCCTACCCACACGGATTCTGAACAGCAGAGCGCGGAGTCAGCACTGTAGTACGCGCTGAAGGGAAAACTGCTGGATATGGAAATATGGCTTAATATAAAAGCTCACTGTATGTACCTCGGACTATTTCAAACTCCTACATGGAGTTCTCCTTTGCTGAAGTTGACAAGCCTGTTTTTCTTCGCCGATACCGATCTTTACTGTGAGTAAAGTTGCGCGCAACATGTGCGTAAAGTTGTGTTCATACATTGCAGGGCAAAATGAAGATACGACTTTGTTATTTATGATTCTCACCACGGTTTTTATAGTGACAATATGCCTACTCTTGCGAGGCAGTCTGTTTTGTAATCGCAAAATCAAAGTGGGGAAACTGCTTTTTCATAACCGCGCAGCTTTTGTTCGCTGCGACAAAAGCAAGACGACAGTTTATCTAGATCAACTTTTTAGGAGATATTTTGTACAACCTTTGCATAACAACAATTTTCTCAAGCGTTTTCCGAGGTACTGCGCATGCTCTTTGGTTGCTTGCTGTCACCAAGACATTTTTCTTCACATTGGAAACTGTCACTGGTGACGTCAATCACCGAGCTCTGACCAATTAGAACGCGGGGTGATTGTTTAGCTCCACGGGCTGCAGCGCCTACCATGAATCTCTATTCAGTATCAAAGCGTCCTGCTGCTGCCTCTCAACCGAATGGGATTCCATGTAGTCTGCAGATAGACTTAACTTTATAAAGTTTATTTCTTTATTTTTCATTACGATTAAAATATATTTGTCATCATCATTATTATTTTGCCTGCTGTCAAGTTATTCTAAAATTTGTTAGTAATGAGCTTGGATGCATTGGGAAGCCCCGTGATGGACCCTACGTTTTCCAAACGGAACACGGCGCTGAGATTAGTTGACTTGGCAGGGGCTCACCATCCACACTCAATGGCTCACTCGCACCCTGGGGAGATTACTGCGGAACCCCGCCTGGGGCCGAGTCCATTCGGGCCAGAACACATGGGGCATTCCGCGGCCCTCAAAATCAGCCCAGCCCATCATTATCCCCACCACCATCACCACCACCACAATCATCATATGGCAGGCCACAGTGAAGTGGTCTCCAGTCAAACGGGAGCTTTTAGCCCGGTTCAGGCGACATCGGTCCCTTATTCTATGTCTCACACGGCCCAGGCTTTATCCGCAGGTAGGGATTTCCTCATCCGGAGAGATCTGACAGCTCAAGCCATGCCAGTACTGACTGACCAGACTGCTGGTTCAGCCTCTCACCACGGAATGTTTGTCTCAACAACAGGTAGCTATCCCGGACACTATGGCCATCACCCTGACGCTGGGAACCATACCCTCTTCTCCGGACTCCATCACGACCAGCCGTCTAGCGGATCACCGGGTGGCCAAGCGTTAAATGGACAAATAAGGTTAGGACTGCCTGGAGAAATGTATGTTAGGTCTGATCACTTGAGTCAAGTGGCAAGCTCCAGGGCTGATCCGTTCTCCGCCTCGCCTTTGCATGGCTACGGTGGTTTGAATCTGAACATGAATCTTAGCGCTCACCACCACCACCACGGAGCCGGTGCTTTTTTCCGCTACATGAGGCAGCCGATAAAGCAAGAGCTGATTTGCAAGTGGCTGGAGCCGGAGCACTCTCCGAAGAAACTTTGCTCTAAAACATACAGCACCATGCACGAGCTCGTAACACATGTGACGGTGGAGCATGTTGGAGGACCAGAGCAGGCGAACCACATATGTTTTTGGGAAGAGTGTCCGAGGGAAGGCAAACCATTTAAAGCCAAGTATAAACTTGTAAATCACATTCGAGTGCACACCGGGGAGAAACCGTTTCCATGCCCGTTCCCTGGCTGTGGCAAAGTGTTTGCGAGGTCCGAGAATCTTAAGATTCACAAAAGGACGCACACAGGTCAGTAGCCATATATTCACAGAGAGGGAATGCTGTAGAAATGTTCGAATTGCACTGGCATATAATTATTAAGTCGCATGCTGAATTTCAGGAGTAATCTTTGCATTGTATCCAGATCAAAATCAGCGATGTTTTGCATACTTTTCAGGTTGTTTTTATGAGCTTTAATTTTACGCATTTAAAATACAATCAGCTGGGCCAAGTCAATTAATCAGTCTGTGCTGCTGATACTTCAGCATGCAGCAGCCACCTGTTTGTTATGAGCTGCATCAGTGCATGCAACTTTCACAAAGGTTGAGCTTTGGCTTTATAGTACAGCTTAGGCATTTAACTGTTCAACCTATTATTTACACCACAGTACAAAGACTAAGGCACACGTCGGGTCTTGTTCAAGCAGATTATAGTGTTTGACAGGGGAAGGTGCATTTTCACATTCAGTAACTGATATTATGATGTGCTGATGATGTTTTAATAATAGCAATAATTATTATTAATATTATAATAATTGATTGGAGTCATTATTATATTTTAAAGGAGTAGTTTTATTTTATTTACAAAAGAAAATCTAACATTATTCATGGTGAAATAGAAAGAACGTTTTTGGGTTGATAAGTATTGTATAGCCGTGACCAAAGCAACAAGTTGACAAGTGCATACGGTTAAAATAATTCACCAACAGGTTGGTGGAGCTACGTCTAATGACTGGCGTGTGCGCAATTCAACTAGAAGCAGCTCTGATTTAAGTTGCGCTAATGTATAACTACAACGTTGCTGCTTTCCTCTGTGGCCAAGTGACGCGCTGTGGAGCTAGGGATGGAAAAGGCCTCAATGTGTCGAGTCAGACTTGTAAATTAATACAGGTCGGTGTCTGAACGGCACTCCCCCTCTGCTTCATTTCTGCTTCCTATGTATTATTCATATAATTTGCTGACATTACCTAAGTACAAATCTGTTAAATTATTTCTGTGTTTTGACTCCCAAGGGGCCTGGTCTTTGGTATCATGTTTAAAACCTAACTGAAAGTGTGGTTATGACTGGGGTTGCCCCTGGGGTCTGGTCCTCTACGGTTTCTTGTACTACACTAATATCCTTGATTGGCTCTCTCAACCCAACAGCTGAAGGTCAAATTGATATTCATCCCGCAAGTGTAATTAGACAGAGGCAATTACATATTCTCAAAAGCTTTAATCGGAGGAGAAAAATCAGCAGTGGATGATTTCCGTGTAATTTATTCAGATTGTCTTTTTTTTTTGCCTTGTCATAATCAGGTAGAAATACTTGTTATTAAGACGCAAAATTAGACCGAATCTCCAACAGACAGGTTCAGACAGCAGATAGGCTGCCTTGTCACCCAGTAGGTGAAGCCTGGCTGTAGTAACAGTTTCATATATCATTGTTTTCAGTTGATTTTAGGCCTGCTATGCCTGTGATCATAGCTTTTCTGTTTTGACATATGCCTTGATGCATGCAGACGCCAGGTATAGACCCAGGTCGGGGGGGAGGGGGGGGGGGGGGCATCCTGTTTACACCACAATGAACCATCACTGTCCAAGAAGGCAAACTTTTAATAGTGCAGGCATGTTCAATAGCAAGGTGTGTTTTCTGTGAACACTAATTTGAAAAAATAGCACAATAACACAACAGATACTTGTTGCATAGATTAGTTTAAACACTTAATGCCACTTTGTCCTCTGCACACATTGTTAGTATGTTTAAAACATTACAGATCTGTCTCAATCAAGCTACTAGAAATGTGAGGGGATGTTTTCATAAAATAAATCCACAGAAGAATTAAGAAAAACCTGATGAACATCAAATGATTTGGAATCTTTTATTTATTGATTTCTATGTTATTGTGTAAACATCACTGTTAACAGGTGAGAAGCCTTTCAAATGTGAGTTTGACGGCTGCGACAGACGCTTCGCCAACAGCAGTGACCGGAAAAAGCACTCCCATGTCCACACCAGCGATAAGCCCTACAACTGCAAAGTGAGAGGCTGCGATAAGTCCTACACACACCCCAGCTCCCTGAGGAAACACATGAAAGTGCACTGCAAGTCCCCCCCGCCCAGTTCAGGCTACGAGTCGTCCACACCATCTCTGGTCTCCCCCTCCTCAGACTTGGGTCGGGAGCCAGGGGGATCCTCGGTGCTGTCGGAGCCGGTGGGGGCTTCCCAGTCAGCGAATTTAAGTGAATGGTACGTGTGCCACAGTTCAGGTGCGAGCGGTGCCCAAACACCACCCAGCGGGCCTTCCACGCCCGACCCCGTAGACGAGCCTCCTTACAGAAACCCAGAAAGAAGGGACGCGTTTTAACCCGTTTGGACTCAAACGCAGTGCCAGAAGAGACAGAACATATTTTCAGAAGCTTAACTATTAAAATGGTTTGGCTTTGGTGCCTATATGCCTGTGAAAGGCCCACTGCCCCCCCCCTTTTCTTTTTGGGGATGGGTCTCCAAACAGACACCAGAGCCAAGAGACGCGTTTGAACCACACTGGAAAGAAAACTTGTAAACCTTAAAGACTTGCGAATTTCCAGACACAATAAAAGAATATATTTTCAAACCTCAGAATTGGCTCAGTGCCTACACGCCCTCACGGCCCATTGGTCCACTTGTGGAGAGTCCTGTAAATCCGTTTGCCTGTGTGGTACATCATTGTAGGTTAGGCATGTTGATGTAAAATGATTTTGTAAATTCAAGTTTTGATTTCAATATGTTTTTATTTATTTTTCAATAAGATATTGAAGGATTTTCTATGACCGAACCAAAGTGCATGTTTCAATTAGGGGAAAAATGTACATTTGTAAATTTTGTAACTTCGGTTGTGCTCATGTTGTTAGTTTTTGGAAGGATCTGTCTCAGCGCAGCTTCTTACTGATTTCTGCCGTGATTTCTACAAACATTTTATGTTTACACTATTTTTTTCCCATTTGTGCATAAGGTCAATAATTGAACTGTTTCATACGCCTGCAGTATTTGCTATACAAGCGTGAATTTATAAATGTTTTATCAAAGTGAACATTTTGTGATTTTGTATCATTGTCGTCAATACTTTTGACATCGACTGGCACGTACCGAATTGCCTTGTGAGTATTTTGAATAAATATTGTATGAGAAAAGTAAAAAGCTCTGTTGAACTATTCGGGTGTATGAAAATGAAACATCTTTAAAGTTATTTCTGCGGTGGGAGGTGGGGGTTACAAAACTTTTATGTCCCTTCTTATGTCTTTATGAACAGTATTTCCTTTTGGGGGGGGGGGGG